GGGAATCATCTTGTTGGCTGGAAGACAGAGAGAGCGTGTAACAAAAGGGAATGTATAATGCCTTACATGAAAGGGGATATTGTCGATTTAATTCAAAAATTATTACATTGCAAAATTCTTCACCCAACAACACGCGGAGAGTGTCTTCTTTTGAGATGGTGGCTCTCCGGTGAGGAAGATTCTTGGGTATCGATAAGGATGTATTTTCTTTTTATTATTGTTATTACATGTGCGCGGTGTTTTGTTTCTGTATATGTGCGCGGTAATTTAAATTCAGCGCGATTTGTTTTGTGGGAATCATATATGCTGGCCGATGGAAAAGAGAGGTGAATTTTCCCAATTACCTGACCGCATCTAACCAATTGTGCATTTCTTCACTCCCATGTCTTATGGGAGTAATTTAGTATGAATGCTTGATAGAGGCACACACTTTCAAAGCCAACAAAATGTGCACACGGGGGCTGGGGAAGTGCTGGCAATATTATCTCAATGACCCATCGGTAGGCAAACTGCTTCCTTGTTAATACTGGAGACGCAGGCTGTTTGAGAGAAGTCTCTTTATCGAGATGGACGTGTTTCACATATTATTTGTTATTTAATAGACAAAAACATTTTACCGAAGTGATCGCGAGAGGATGGCATAAAAGGACGCACATTGCTGACCAGCATAACTCTATCTATATAATTGATCCTCTATGTTGGCTGTGCTTCCGTATTTTTATAAGACTCTCCCCGTAAACTTTTTCTTTTCTCACCTCACACGCCCGTTTTACCGCAGAGAGAGAGAGAGAAGGAGAGAGAGAGATCAAATAAGATAAAATACTTTTGATTATTTCACACATTTTCTCTCACACGATCCTCACTTGAGCCCTCGAAATGCCCATGATTTTCATGGTGTGTAAATTTGGCTGGGAAATTGAAATGTTGACTTGAGAGGCGAGTAATTTCCAAATGACTATAATTTTAACTTACATGAACTGAAGTTTCTTGATTGTGACTTCTGAGCCCCTCTCCGATTTTCAGTGGGATTCCTTTGCCAGGGAGAGCAGAAAAGTACAAACCTTAATGCGTGTTTGTTGTTAGTGTGCCAACAAAAGAAAATGGTGAGAGAAGGAAGATTTAACGAGAATCAATATTTGGCTACAAAATTAAATATTCCATTGGAGAGTGTGACCTGTAAATCAATATTAGTTGCACACAGGAGAAAATAATACAGCGCAGAGGTGAAAAATGAATCTCGCGTATGATAGAATTTTGTATCCAATTTTTAGTGGGTATAGTTTACCGTTTGTCACTCAAATGCGACATACGCAGGAAATATTTTATTCCCATGTAAACTGACTTTGAATGTTTTGAGGCTCTGTTTTTTTTTCTTCCTCTTCACCCAAACCGCATTTAGAGGAGATCCAAAGTTAGGAGCCCACTAAAGCGCGGCCACTCTTTGACAATAAAGCCAGAGTGCGGAGAACACGCTGAAAGAGTGGAATAAAGGCCCAAGAAAGGAATAATAAAACTGGAAGTAGTTGTCTCAGTCATATAAAATCGGTTTCCGAAATTATACGCTGGGCGAGGAGGATGACTGCCAGAGAAGGAGATGATAAATAATGTGGGTGGATGTGAAATTGTGTGTCTCTCCACCAAACGTTTTTCTTTCTCTCTATAACTTAAGATGCTATCGTGAGAAATATCAGGTGTTTTTTTTTTCTTACCGTCTCCCAAAAGCACACTTTGCACTTCTTGTTTTGCCACCACAAAGTGTCTTTTTTCCAGGCCTTGATTGGCTTCAGGTGGGCGCGAAATTAATCTTAATTGCCACCATTTGAGATCGGCCAGTTGGTGTGCCTTTTTTCATGTGCAACAAATGAGGTGATTTTCTCGTTTGCCTTTTCTAGTACACCTTCCGCCGCAAGATAAACAGAGAATTAAGATCAATTTAGGCGTGCAGTGCGCGGTTGTTCGGTATAAAAGCTAATAGAGTGCTCACAAGTTGAGGATAAATGGATCAGAGGAGAAGAATATATTGCTGTGATTCCCTAAAATGGATCTTTCGGTAAGCAAAATTTATTCATGATATGTGTATTTGTCATCCTCATTTCATTCTGGTGTTTCTATTTCCATACTTATGACTTTCGACGGCTAAAATTGGGGATTCTGTGCGATGTGAAGAAACACAGGAAGTGTGTGAAATCCGTGGGATTTTCAAACGACTATAGAGAGAGGCAAATATGCAAAGATTTACAGTGATTTTGCTCTTCACTGTATTTTTTTTTTTGCTTTCTGTGACAGATGTTTTGCCTTTTGCGATTTCTCTTATCACTGGCTGAATATTGCTGCCTTGTCATGGTTAAAGTCAACGTGTGAGATTCCATGTCTGGAGCGCTGTTGTCGTCTGAAGAAGCTCATGAATTAAAGAGCCATTAAATTTGCATTGATAAATACGCATGTCAGATGCTCCAGATCAATTTACTCCTCTGAATTTCAATGGTAATTTTGAATGAAGACATCCAACACATATTATGAAGCAAGCAAGCAAAATAATTTGTGGGATTAGTCATTGCGAAAGAAATATACATGAAAAAGCGTTTAAAGTAAAAACTTCATTACAATTTATTCCATGTTTTTCAGATAGCGAACAAGATAAAGTTGTTGATAAACATTCATTGCAAAAAATTTAAATAAATCTCACAAAATAAATTAAGGATCTCTTCGTGGTGTTTTCGCGAACGGCTGCGGTCTTTGAAGCCCTCTGTGAATGGTTCCTCGAGCAAGAATAATTATCATTTATCAAAATTTTATAAGTTTCTTTCTTATAATTTCTTGTTCATCCCTCCGGCTCAATATTCAAATTTATTCGGAGTATTTGTGGAATTTTATAACATTCGCCTTTAACCGTCAGAAAGTGCTCTAATTCCTGGGTATTTTCGCATGAGATTCTTCTTCGTGAGATATTTCGAATAAATGATTAGTAGTTTTGGGTAAAAATTTGCGGATGATTCTTTTTGGGGCATTTCTGATAGAATCGTGTGTGCGAACATGTGTGGCAAATTGAGGGATAATTTGATCTGGCCTCTCTTAGCGTGGAATTAATTATGGTGTGCAGTTAAATGAGTGAAAACGAAGCATATGAATTCTCAACATTAAATTCTAACTCGCGTGACATTTGACACCATCATCATTTTTTCTCAGCAGTTCTCGGCAATTAGAAGATGCAAACATGTCGAAAGAGAAACGTATTATTAATGGTCAGAGTCATGAGCTTCTATAAATTTCCATCTCTCACTGGAATAATATCCGCTCGTGAAAATATTCCATCAAACTGTTGTGGTTCAAATTTATGCAAGTCAGTCTTTCTTAATCGTCGTCTCACCACGGTGTGTAGAATCAACGCGAAAAAGTGCGTTGCACGAAACACAAATCGATATGCAAATTAATATGGCAAATGTGGTTCAAATCGAATTATTCGCGGGGGGTATTTAAGTCATAAGATCTCACTGTATAATGGCAATTTGTAGAGGAATTTCTCTCCCACTTACAATGTTAAGATTTTCTTACTATACTTTTTTTATTCCTTGCTCGCGAGCGCGTTGAGTTGCGAATGAAAATAAATACAAATTATCGACGTAACATCATAAATCGTGTCCGTTTAATTACCAACTCATTGATGTGCTCTTTCATCTCTGTCTCGCTGTCTCTCTCACTCATCCCATGATTTGTGGGCATTTGCATCTTCCCTTTTGCCTTCATTTTTGCCTTTAAAATGATGTTTCAATTACGTGTGAATTTCCACTTTACGAATTTATTGATGCCCAATAAAATGACGATCAACTTTGGAAGAAATGTAGGTCGTCAGAGATAAAAATCAAAGAAACTCACTGTGTGCGCACAGTGAGAGGAAATGGATGAAAAATGGGCCTAAGAGATATTTTTAGTGCGCGATGGAGCTTCGCGCCAAATTTCCACTGCGCGCGATTTCGTCTAATGAGCGGCGGCGGCGGTGTGTGTCTTGGATGGAGGCCAAGATTGAAAAGTTCAACCGATTGAGCTGCAATTTGTCCACCAGCGTAATTTCTCAATGAATCTCCTTTGATTTCTGGGAAATGATGTCAAATGAGTGGGAAATTAATGGGCACATGGACTGTTATAATAAAATGCTTTGTAATGTGTTCTGGGAATGCAATTGAAAACACTTGTTCGAGGGACAGAGATTGCAATCGAAGGGATTAGAAGAGAGAGAGCGCGCGCGGGAGTCATGAGAAAAGGGGATTCTGTTGGACTACAGCACAACGAAAAGAGCCCCCATTCGAGATGGTGTACTCGATTGCGATGTTTATTGATGTCTAGACACTTTTTCCTTCTTCCAAGCTCCAGTGTTATTGTTCCACTGACGCTGTCCAGATAAATTATTTGCACATGGCCAGCAGTTCACGGAATTCTTACTCTCTCACTCTTTCTCTCTCTCTCTCTGTGATGAGATTTTTGCAGTGGAGTGACTAGAAATGGATTCTCATATGTAAAAATGATCGTTTTGCTGAGAATTGTTTTGATTTTGAATTACTCCTTTCTTGGCTTCCTCTGCGTTGAATGCCAAATTCAATAAATAAAATCACGATCGACTCACCAACAAATTGTCATGCAAACAATCACTTTTTGCTCCCCCTTTAAAAGATTGTTTGTGGTGTTGTAAAGTAAATTATTTACACTTTGAAGGCAAAGAGTGCAAACAGAGTTCAGTGGAATTTCGAGTGTGTGACGAAGAGGGAGATAATTATATGCTATGTCTTTATTGGTAAAAATTGAGAACTTATGGACACTTGTTGAGTTGGATAAAAGAGCACTAAGAATGACATGCTCTTCGTATGGTAGTTTTTAGCATTGAATTTGTGTGCACAAATAGAATTACCAGAAAGTCAAGCATGATTGTCGTCAAAACATTATATCCATCCATAAAGTAAGCATTGCGATTGAGTGTGAAGCTATAAAAGTCAATTAAATATTTGCAGCCAATGACACGATACTCTGACACAACCCTCTTGATTCACGATGAATGGATCCGTGGTCATGAGAAGGTGGCATTTCCCACTGTCTATGCCTTCCTCTATCGCCATGAGGCGGCCGGAGAGGGCGAAGCTGGTGATGATGTGCATCCGAATGGGATTCTGCAGCAGCAGGAGGAGAAATTTATGAGGATTCGCGGCCAGAAGGTGGGATACAAATACAACAATCGTGACATCAGGCGACCGAATGGCCTGAGCAGAAAGAGGAGGAGCAGAGAGATTGCGGAGAAGCGATCGAGCAGGAAAAGTGTTGAATTGCGAATTGTAGAGAATGATGGACCACAAGAGCCGACGACGAAGACTCTGGCCATCGAGGAGCCTCAAGAGAGGCCAGCTGAAGTGGAGGCTGTCCAGGAAACACCCTCAAGTGATCCACAAGAGCGACAAGATGATGCCCAGAGGAGCACAGAAGAGAGAGAAGCCAGTGAGGAGAAAGTTCAAGTTCAAATAAGTGCCGATGTCCATTCAGTACCTGCCACGGATATCAATGAGAACACCGTTCTCGAGGATAATAAGAAGGAGATTGTCCGCGATGTTGCCAGTGAGATTCAAGTGGATCAGCCAGAAGTCTCACGAGAGGAGAAGGAGGAGGAGAGCAAAGTGGATGATGCCGAGGAAAAGTCACCCGTACCTGAGCCTGATGAGATTCTGGCCATCGTGGAGCCTCTCGATGAGTGTGAGATTCGAGTGAAAGCCAAAGATGCCGACAGTGGAAGTCCGCAGAGTCTGAGGCACATTTCCCGGACGTCCAGCATGAGCAGTCGCAGCGGGGCGCGGAGTCCCATTCCCGGAACTGTGATAGGTGTACCCATTCGTCGCAAGCAATACACATCAATTTCCGAGACCTCTTTCGACGATCCCACGTCGTCGAGCTACGATGAATCCGATGAGCCCGATTATGCCAAAGTGGAGCGCACTGGGGTGAGTGATGAATTGATTTTTCATAGGTTTCACAGGGCATTAAAGTGGGAAGGTCTTCGTGGGTAAAAAGTTGGTGGATTGATTTTCGATTAGAGAAGCTCACAGGCAACAAGGGATGGATATTCTGTGAGTGTAGTGTACATTATGTGACCATAACATCACACCACCAGTATGTGGGTGGATTTCATGGGCAATTCCTCGAGTTACTTGCAAATCGTCAGGTTTAAAATTGAAATTAACACGCAAATGGGTGTACCGAACATTTCGAGCTGTCGTCTCTTGGGCAGCTCTCTCCGAGAGGTGTTACTCGGTGGTAGAGTCATGTAGAAGTTGACGAGCACTCTTTCATTCTTGAGCACTTTGGCGTCTGTTCGAGAGGGCGGGGGCGCAGTGGGAGGTCAGAGGTCAGTAGAGGTGTGGCCGGATGATGTGTTTATTTTTAGTATCTATCATTGGCATGGATGGAAAATCAGCAATTTCCACTGGCAATTCATCATCATTAGTCGACGATGGGACGCCTTTTGCTTAATCACTATTCATCTCTCTGTGCGCGCGGGTTTATTTATTTTCAAATAGTTTTGAAGGAGCGATAAAAAGAGCAAAATGAGTGAGAAATGGAGATGGGAAATTGTGTGCTTCATTTGAGATTAAAAGCGTCTGGCATTACAAATTGCTCCTTCCTACCGCGCGTCAATTGTATATCTCTTCCTCCTTTGTGTGGATGACGCTGTGAAAATCATCCGGGAGAAGAAGCACGTGTTGCGACGTGGTGGTGAGGAGTGTGTAGAGAGTCTCTCTGGTGATCAGTTGTGTGATTAATGACACCTTCTTGAGTGCTGAAGCAAGTTCATTTCTTTCACATCCACTTGTAATGTGCCATTTAACACAAATTTCCCTGCACCGTTGCAGAGAAGACGAAGACTTTTAGCCATGTTTGTGTGGTAGTCACAAATGAGAAGCGCGAGAGAGTGCGCAAATGTTGTGACTTTAGGTGACAAATTGTCCAATAATTCCAATTAATTAGACAATTAATTGCATTATGATAGAGCAATTGCTCTTATGCACGTTGCGAACGGTGATTTATTGTTCCATTCATGAATACCATCGAAAACACACTTCATCACGATGCCTTTTCACGGCCACGATATCAAACATATGTGTACATAAGGAAGACTAATGCCTCGTGTGCTGGCTATTATTTACACTGAATGCATTTTAAAATATTTGCAAATCATCACTCTTCATTACACAAGTTCTTCCACATTGACCAGCGCGATATTTTCCATTGAAACAACCTCGGGTGGAGAAGAATGGTACATAAAGTTTCATTGTGAAGGCTGAATTTTAATTCTCCTGCCTTGTCAGGAATTGACATCACCACAAGATGAACGTCTTTTTCTCATCTCTTTTTTTCCTGCCTCTAATAATTATTTTACCACATATACTGAAAATTGTAGCATCAATCGCTGTTTTGTCTGCATTTTATTCTTTCTCCCAAAATAAATTCATCCACCAAATTGTATGTCACAGACATGCAAATTGATGTTGTAAGGCGAGGTGAGTTTGTCTAAACGACTTTTTAAAGTGCTGCGACCCCGCGACGTTTGACTTTGACCTTTTTTGACGCGGTGACAAAGGCATAAAATTCACATTTTGAGGCTCTTTGCTGCCCAAGTCCTGCCCATTCCACTTCCTCCACTCCAGGCTCGATGGCAATCGCGGTGTGTGCCATTGAGTCTGTGAGATGCACAGAGAGTGGAATTCCAGCGTGTGGCTGCGTTCCTCTTCTGCTTGGCGGGTTGCGGTGTCCCCATAAAAGGAGGGATGGCCACAGAAATGGGAATTCCCTGTGACCACAATACGGCTCTCGTGTGGCCACCGAGATGGCGGATTGACACGATGGAATGTGAGCAATGAGCGCGGAGAATATTTCCAAAGGTCGAACACAATTGTCTCACAATTGAGATTATGTTGCTGCGCGCACCACTAAATAAATCACACTGTTTTGCTGGGGTGTCATTCAATTATAATTGCTGATTATACATTGAATGCCAACATGAGGTGAAATCATGTGAATTTCATGTGAAACAGTCACTGTCGTGGCCTTCATATCATCTCACCTAATCTTTTGCATGCGGAAGATCGCGTCCATGCCATGAGTCTTCGACCGCATTAGCTATATTTGTGGAAAATCTCCTCTCGCGCGCCCGCGTCCATGTGATTTGCCCCGACCATAAATGGGAAAAGCTAACCGTTTTCATCTCCCCAGCGCGGCTCCCTCATTCAACCGTGATGGACATAGCGGATTTGACTTCTCCCCGATGCATTTCATTTGGCGAATCAATCGGCGCGAATTCTTCTGCGTCTTCAATGGCATTCCACAAGATTCAGAGTCTCATAAACATCAATTTCCCTCCTTTCTCATCTCTCTCACATCAATATTCAGCCCATCTGTGGTGGAAAATTGATAACGATCTCACTTATTTGTTAGGGCATTTTCATGCGATCACCCATCGATTGGCATCTACTAAATCTCTCTCTCTCTGTTTCTTTCTTGGTTAAATTGCGAGGCAATCCTTCACGCGCTTCTCTTAAAATAAGAGGATCCGAATTTTTTTCATACCAAGAGAAACAGTGTTCAGCAATTTTCACCTCATCATGCGCACACTGTCGACAAGAAAAGTATCACACTGTGCCTTTAATGTGTGTTTGTCCCTTGGGGAAACGGTTTAATGCCCCCGCTTTCTTTTAAATCCGCGCTGTGGCTGTAAATGGCATTGAACTAATGGAACAATGATGATTCTCTAAATGCAAATTAAATCGGAGGCAATGCCTAGAAGTATCAAATCTTACCGTATAGTCACAGGTGATCTCTCACGATACAATCCAATCAATACACCGTTAAAGGCTGCATGTAACGTGTTGATCTGTCAATTGGCATTCATTCCCACATTTATAAATTGGCACCATATGAACTCGGACTGGCGGGAAGTGGCTTCCATCTTCTGGCTTTAATTAAATGCGATCACGTACTTGTTGTAAAGTACTTTTTATTCCTCAGCTCATTTCCACTCCATTTTGCTCTGGTGGTATTGGGTGAACTTGAGGTGTATAAATTGTGGAAATATTTTTCTCCTGGGCGACCCGCGAAAGGGCGGCGAAAGAGGAGAGTGGAGGGGGTTTTTGTAACATGCAAATGTGGATCACGAAGCACTTTTCCTCATTGATTTGCTACTGGCTGAAGAGAGGGGAAAAGCATGAACACCAGGTACGCGAGATGAAGCATTTTGTATCGTCCGCAGACAATGGACAATTTCAGCATTTTTTACTCATAAACATCGAAAGCTCACCACAAACTTTACCTACACATGGCAATAAATTCAATTTGCAATTGCTGTGACAATTATTTTTACAATTCACGTACCGTGATTTTTGCCATCGATCTCACGTTCTCCTGTGAAACAATGTGTGCTGTTACGGTGACCATCAGTGTTTTCTTTTCTGCTCCAAAAAAAAGAGAATTCATCACATGATTTTTGCAGAGACGTTCAACACACTTCTCAACACATTTTATCATTATGTTTGTCATCTCCTTCGGCTGATGGTGGATCATCTGCAAAAGTGAAAATAGAACGCGACAATTGTTTCACGCCCAATTTATCTGGCGATGCTTTTAAATTTAGACGATTTTTCTGCGATTCTAACACAGCAAGTGACGGAAATTTATTTTTATTTGCCCATTACTTCATAATGTTTCGCTGAGACACTCCTCTATTTTTTTTCTCACCTTCTGCTGTTGTTGGGTTAGAATTTATTTAAGATTGTGATGTTTTCCGATGGTCAATGTCAAAGCCAGTGAGAGGATAAATTCAGCATTTCTCAGAGACTTTCCAATAAACTGACATCCTTCTCTGAATCCAAGCAAACATTCTTCACACTCCCTATGAGAATTACATTTCTCACCAGTGCCTTCATTCCTTCGCTGGTTGAGGAAGAGGAAAACTGTAGTGTTTACAGTGGCATAGAACTAAAATTAACTCTCTCATTTCATATGTGTAACACCGGTTCTAGAGAGTGAATTTTATAAATATTTGATTTTCCAATGATTTCTTTCCTCTGGACGCGCGTGTGATGATGTTTGCCTGATCGGCACGTCTTACGTCAATAATTTCCTTCTTAGTTTTCTAACTTGGGGTATAAAATTGGTGGAGTTTCAGTTCATCAGTTTGAGGAGAGTTCCCTCGTAAAATGTCCCCCTCCTCATATTTCTGAAAACAACAACACCATCGTAAAAGACGTGAAGCAATCATGAAAATGCACAATTTCCCGAGCAATGACTGCGCTCAAGTGAATTAACACTTGAGCTTTTCTAATTCTTTCCACAGTTCTGAAAAGCACATATCTTCCCATTCAACTTAAGTGTAGTTTTACGACTATATTGGAGGGGTTTGTCATTGATAATATTGATTGTATTTTAGCCACATGTATTTTGTCCGTTCAGCTATTTGTCTCAACATAATGTGAGCAAATTGACTCTTCGCCTTTTTTTCCTTGGCTCATTGACGAAATGATATCATAAATGTTTGTTTTCTTTTAAAATTCATTTTCAACATGATCTAGTTATTCATCAGCAAAAAATCCAATGCTACTTTTTTTGCCAGCATGTGAGAGATGATTCCAAAGAGAATTCTATTTTAGATTGATGATCGCCTCCTCGAGTATTTTCTCATGTGTGATGTGCAAATGTATTTCCACCCGAGAGTTTTTTTTTTATTTTTGCCAGAGGGAAGCAAATCAATTACACACACTCTCTTTCTCTCTCTCACACATCGTGATCACGCACGAGGAAAAGGCAATGCTATTTCCGTTCTCCATCGGAATATTGCGGGTGTTTTCAAGTGCTGGTGCGAATCATTAACATCATCGCTTTTAATAATAATTGTAATTCAACGTATGATCGATACCATATGGTAGCGAGAGCAGGAAAATTCACCCGCTGT